ATGCTGTGGTTCGATCCCCAGATCCTCAAGCCAAACCAGACCTGCCCTGAAGGAATCCTGAGCCCGCCTAAAAAAAAATCCTTCTGCCTTTATGGGCCCGGGAGACGGCTCAGTGGAATAAGCACTTCCCTGGCAAGCGCAAAGGCCTGAGTTCAATCCCCAGTTCCACCAAAAATAAATACATACATACATAAATAAATAAATAAATAAATGACACATACAATGTAAGAAACAGCATAGCAGTTACTATTATAAACATAAAAAAAAAATCTTCGATAGGCCCTCATGTATTAGTGTCATATAGAGAACAAAGAGCTAAATAACATTTGTCCAATAAAAATATTAATAAAGGTCACTCAATTATTTCTGATTATGCCCTTTCTGTATGTAAATAGTACAAAAGTACAAACTAATAAAACCAATTCTAGGGCCAAGGGATGTGGCTTAGTGGGAGAATACTTGACTAGCATGCATGAAACACTGAGTTTCAAGCATGACATTTTTTTTTTTTTTGCGGAACCAGGGATTGAACTCAGGCCCTTGCGCTTGCCAGGGAAACGCTTATTTCACTGAGCCATCTCCCTGGCCCCAAACAATATTTTAAGAAGTAAAAATAAAGTCTTTAAGAGGATGTAACAATGTGGCCCATGTAAGCAACTTTCTTGGAATCTTGGTTAGGAAGATAGACTGACGTTATCCAAATATCACCTTATACAAATTAGGATGGCTACTTTTTTTTTTTTCTTTCTTGAGATAGGGTCTCACCATGCAGTTCAGGCTGGCCTCGAGCTCACTTTGTAGCCCAGCCTGGTCTTGAACTCACAATGATCCTCCTGCCTCAGCTCCTGAGTGCTGGGATTACAGGTGTGCACTACCATGCCCAGCTAGGATGGGTGCTATTAAATAATCCCCAGAAAACAACAAGTGTTGGCAAAGATGTGGCAAACTTAGAGCCACTGTGCTGCACCAGTAATATAACATGACCCAAGACCTATGGAAAATGCTATGGTGGTTCCTCAAAACCATGTCTGCCATATGATCCAGCAATTCCATTTCTGGGTATATACTTAAAATAACTAAAAGTAGGACATGACATTTGTATATCCATAGTCATGGCATTGTTCATAACAGCCAAAAGGAGGAAACAACCTAAGTATGTATCAATGGACATTTGGTATATACTTATAGAGGACTATTATTTGGCTTTTATTTTATTTATTTATTTTTTGGGAAAGGGTACACAGGGTGTTCAGGGTGTTCACTACTAGATCAGACTCGTAGTGATTCGTTTGAGCTGGGATAACAGGCGCACACCACCATGGCCAGTCTCAATTGCCATCTCAGTGCACCCCAGAATTTGGCTTTTAAAAAGGAAGGAAATTCTAGTGTGTGTGGTACCCACTTGTAATCCCAGCACTCTGGAAGACTGAGACAAGATGATGGAAAGTTCAAGTCCACCCT